AAACAGTGACTAATAGCATAATATGGGGGAGCCCTCAGCTGTGCCATGCCACATTCATCTAAGCCGCGCTGCGCAAAGGCGCGGGCGCAACAGTTGGTTCAGGGTGCGACTTAACTACTAAACATTAGGGTAAGCACAAATTATTATGGTGCAACCAAGGTCATATAAACTCACCATTCTCCTTCTCCTCATCGAGTGGACCGACCTGGATGCCGCCAATCTGTGCACTAAGCGCTAACAAATTCAGCTCCTCATAAGCATCTGGAGACGTTTCTTTCAATATATAATCTTTGCGGAGATAAATGACACCGACCTTCAGGATCAAGAGTCTCCAAGTGATCGGTATCACCTTCGTAATCTGGATCAACTAGCGCATCTACATACATTTCCAACGGGTCTTTCAACACTTCCATCACTCGTTTAGACTCCAAAGACTCATTATTCACCATTCTCATACATACCTAAAATCTACGAAAATCAGTATTTCATTTATATGAAGCTTAGTATATTCAGTTTTCATTTTGCATAAATTATGCTTGATGAACTTAGCCATGAAAGTCGAAAAAGTGTTCAAAACATCGATAGTTTTGAAAAATGCAAGACACTTATAAAAGCAACACTTACCTCTAGTTTACCTATATGAAACTTCATTCGCTCAAGATGTCGTTTTAATTCCTCCATGCGCTTCTGAAGATAAACTCATTATAAAATGATCAGGTGCTAGTATGTGTACCAATGAGTGTCCTTTACGCACCTCTTTTTCACCTTTCTTTCCATCTTCCTTCTTTCCGCGTCGTTTTCCCGCATCCACAGAAGATATCGATTCAATCTGTGATTCTGTGCGATCCGCCTCATCGCTAAGCTCACGGATTTGACTCTGAATTAAGAATTATTGACCAATGAAAACAATGAACAAATACTATTTATAGAAGACAACGTTACTTGTTATTAAAACTTTAAATAAAAAAAGGAAACAAACCTGCAACCATTCTATCGTGTCTACCTTTTCTTTTTCTCGTGGATCTAACTTCTCCTCCGCACTTAGGCCCTATAAACAAATTTAATAACATGCTTACGAAGTAGGAAAGTGAAGGCAACGAGCAAAGAGACGAGCGCACCTGTTTGCTATGCGGTTTCGTTTTGTTTTCTCTCTCGATATCCTTGAACTGCTCCATCCGTTGTTCAATTACTTTACGGTAATGCGTTAGCTTATCTTTATCCTTTAAGAGACGCAATTCAGTCAAGAAGCAGCGGAAGTAGAAAAATATTCAAACATTAACCTTAATTTCCGAACAGTTTTGCCACCCTTTTACTTGATCTCTCAACCGTTGCAATTTTTTAATTTCCTTTTTCAAATCATCCTGAAATCGTTCCGACATCTATAAGCAATGTACTTCCTGCATCTTATTGCAAGCGTACCTGATACTTCTCTCGTTGATTATCACTGTTCGCTTCTTGCATCTTCACCATCGTCTCTTCAAACAGCTCTACGCCCTCATCGATCTTAATCAATTGATTTACACAAAAATGTAAGTTGAATCAACTTCATGAAAAACATCAGAGATTCAAGTACGGTTGAGCAACCACTTTCTCAAAGTTAGCAAGTCATTGATATTTACAGAAAACTTGAGAAAGTGTCACCTTTTTGAAGCATTTATCAATCTCGGCGAGGAGCTTCCGCTTCTCCGCCATGATGACCTGTTCTTTGAGTGTGGACTGGACCACAAAGGATTATAATGCATGCAGCGAATTCGCAGCTAACTTCTTTTCTAAAAAAGTCTTTTCCAGAATATTGACGAATTGACGTTTGCAGCAAGATCCAGATAGAAAAAAAAGCAAAAGCGAAAACTATTTTATCCTTGCAGACACAATTGCTAAAATTTCAAAAAAAA